CTCATTTGGCCAGTCTACCTGGGGGAGAAGATATCACAGTCAACCAAAACTATTAAGGACATCTACCCAGCACGCCCCTACAGACAATCACATAATGCAGGCAGCAAATTTGCACTCGTTTCGCCAGTCTACCTGGGGGAGAAAATATCACAGTCACAACCATAGTGCACTCCCCTATAGCCCATTGTGTCGTTGTTACTACTGTTTGAGCATATCTGGGCCCAGGAAAATCTTCACCGCAGCACCACCAGCCCCATGATACCATATGCAATCATTTGTCGTTGAAGCCCGGCGCTAGGTGGAAGATATCATCGTTACATCCTTTACACCCTCCCCACATGGTAATCCAACATTGTTGTTGTTATCAGTTCTCACCTGTCTACTGTGGTAGGGGGGGGGAGATATCAAAGTGTCAACCACAACATGCTGCCCTGTGAACAACTGTGTGTCGTTTTTGTTATTGTTTGAGCATACCCGGGGGCAGCAAGATCATCACAACAGCCCAACGAGCCCCAATCCCGGAAAGGAAGCAAGAGTACCCACACCATCTCCTGTATAGAAAACTTCAGTGAGAAGGAATCATGTAAGCCCCATGATCTTCACATTAAGTTCTTCCCATAGGCCTGTAACACGCCCTTATTCGGCAGAATTTAGGTCATTCACCGACACCAAGGACGGAGTCTTCGTGGAGGCATACGTGGCAGGGGTCCCATGACATCCCCCATAGCCACCTTCATCCCATTTGACGTGGTGATTTACTCCCCCCCAAGGGCCCCAACCCCTTTCCTCCACGGGATCTTCCTAAACCCAGATGGGGCAACCCACACTCACACACCCCTCCCTGCACTCTCATGCACAAATCAATCTTAAAGAGGGGGCAGTCACCATCCCTTACACCCGATGTACCTCTCGATAAAACTCCAGACTTACCTTAAATCGATGGCGTCTCTTGTTGTTCACGCTGACGCCTTCCACCGTTAGTGCAAGGGGGTGTCTGTTGCACCTTGCCTTGTCCTGCTGCAACGGAAATTGAATGTCCGCACCCTGAGCCCCGTTGGAGATATTGTAAGCTGTAATCTCCTGCTGTAGCTGTAGTTTAACTTCATCACCCTGTGCCTTTCCACCCTTCTTCACAAGGATGCCGTCCTCCAGATCCAGACAAATTGCTTTCTCTTGCTGTACTTGTAGCTGAGGTTGAATGTTGGCGCCCTGGATCTCGTAGGTACCCTCTGGAACCGGCAGGGCAGGGACTCCGGGCAGCTGTCAGGCGATCTGATCGTTGTTCGGCCTGTTAGTTGTAGCATCGCAGATATGCTGGGCACGCGGAGCAGGGGCCCGCTGTGCCTGGCTATATTGCATCATATTGTGTGCCACGTAGATATCGTTATCGATAATCTCACCTTGTATTCATTCAGCCATTTCATTTCGGTCGAATTCTTAGACCTTTCTTTCTAAACATTGTGCCTCTTTTATTCAGTCTTTTCAACTCTTTTGGGTATTAGCTACACCTTGTATTCATTCATTCAATCCCTTAATTTCGGTTGAATTCTTGGTCCTTCTTTCTAAACATTGTGGCTTTTCTTATGGAATCTTTTTACTGAGTTGGCATCCAGATTCAGATGACCAGTATTCCAGATAATGCTCTATTGAGTAGTATTGACATCAATGGTATTGTGTTTCGACTAGGGTTGCAACCTGCCTACAGACAACACCCGCAAGATGAGCATAGGTGGGCAGTTTGCTGACCAGTGATTCATGGCAAGCTCTGAGGCAATTTTCCAAATTTCAAAATTAGTTCCCAATTGTGGAGGGCCCCACCACCAGAAATGGTAGTTTACCATCAACAGAACTTTGTTTTTTTTTGGTGGGGAAGGGAGAGGGGCGACAGGTCATGAGGTGGTAATGGGATGATGATAGGCGATGCTGATTACTGATGTTGCCTGATGATGATTGATGTTGATTTTTGAAGAAGAAAAACAACAAGAACAAGAAGGCACCATAAATATGGCAGTTTTACCTGAGTGAGGAACGCCGCCCGGCCGGGCTGGGCCCGGGGGGGCCGCCCTGGTAAACCGGTTGGGCCAAGAAAACGCCCAGAAATTTATTTTTATGTTTTTTGAAACCGGGGTCGTT